GTGGGAAAGTCAGGGAATGGGGTGTTTCTGTGCTCAGGAGCCCCTTTGCAGCTGTTGGCTGGAGCCTGAGTGATGGTGGTACCTGCATTTCGGGTGGAAAAGTCGAGGAATGGGGTGGAAAAGTCAGGGAATGGGGTGGGAAAGTCAGGGAATGGGGTGTTTCCGTGCTCAGGAGCCCCTTTGGAGCTGTTGTCCAGGTCCCAGGTGATGGTGGTGCCTGTGTTTTGGGGGGAGCAGTCAGGGAACGGGGTGTTCCCCCCCTCGGGAGCCCCCTGGGAGCCGTGTCCCGGCTCTGAGCCGCCGTTCCCGCCCCAGGTCCGGGTGGAGGGCTCCGTGAGGCGGCTCCCGGAGGAGGAATCCGAGCGCTACTTCTACTCCCGGCCCCGGAGCAGCCAGATCGGGGCCGTGGTGAGCCGGCAGAGCTCCGTCATCCCCGACCGGGAGGTGAGCCCGCCCTTCCCGAGGGAACCACCAGGGGCTGCCCCGTCCAGCGCCCCCCTCACCCCTCCCCGTTCCCGCAGTACCTGAGGAAGAGGAACGCGGAGCTGGAGGAGAAATTCCGGGACACGCCGGTGCCCAAACCGCACTATTGGTGAGTGCTGGGGGCTCTTTGGGGGGGGTTCACCACCCCCTGCGCCCCCCTAACGCCCCGCGTGCCCCTGCCAGGGGTGGGTACATCCTGGAGCCGGAGGTGGTGGAGTTCTGGCAGGGCCAAACCAACCGGCTGCACGACCGGATCGTGTTCCGGAGGCTCCGGGATCGCTCGGCCCCGCTGGGGGCCATGACCCACCCCGGGCACGGGGACTGGGTCTACGAGCGCTTCTCCCCCTGAGGATCCCGCTCTGGAATGCCACCTGTGCCAGAGCCACCCCCCCACCGGCCCCTCGTGGGGCGCCGGGAATCGCATCCGACCTCCGGGAATTCCCGGCGCCTTCGTCTGCATCCAGTGGGTTAATTAATCGTGTTAATGATTGTGGGGAGACCCCAGTTGTGACCCCAGTGATCCCCCCCCCTCCCCAGTCCTGCCACTTCCACTGCCTGTGCTCCGTGTTTTAGCTGGAATCCTGTTTTACCTGGAATCATGGAATGTGCTCAATTCCCAGTGTATTATTGCTCTTCTTTAATTGACTCATTAATGTCACCACGGTGTCACCCCTGGCTCTGTCCCAGAGCCAGTCCTGCCACTGCTTGTGCTCTGTGTTTTAGCTGGAATTGTGTTTTAGCTGGAATTGTGTTTTAGCTGGAATTGTGTTTTAGCTGGAATCCTGTTTTAGCTGGAATCATGGAATGTGCTCAATTCCCAGTGTATTATTGCTCTTGTTTAATTGATTTATTTCATTAATGTCACCACGGTGTCACCCCTGGCTCTGTCCCAGCGCCAGCCCTGCCACTGCCACTGCTTGTGCTCCGTGTTTTAGCTGGAATCCTGTTTTAGCTGGAATCCTGTTTTAGCTGGAATCATGGAATGTGCTCAATTCCCGACGTATTCTCGCTCTTGTTTGATTGACTCATTAATGTCACCCCGGTGTCACCCCTGGCTCTGTCCCAGTGCCATGGGATTCTTCCCCCCCCCAACCCTCCCCCTGTCCCCTCCTCCAGCTGAGCTTGGAAAAATCCCATCCGGATGTCCTGGAGGAGGTTTTGGGTTAATTTTTACCCACACGGGGCCGGGCTCTCCTGGAACAGCCGGGAATCCCGGCCCTGGAGCCGGCACTGGGTCACATCCCAGTGAAACCAGGCCCTGATAACCTTCCCCCTCCTTCCCTGCTCTGTGTTTGCCATCCCAGCCTCTGGATCCTGCTCCCCCGGTGGGAACCACCTGTGGATATCACTGGGAAAAGAGGGGTCAGGGACCCCAAAATGGGGTAAAAACCAGCTTCAGTTGGCCCCAAAATAGGGTAAAAACCACTAAACCCACCCCAAAATGGCGCTGGAGAACATCAAACCGCCCCTAAAAAGCCCCCAGACCCCTCAAAAGCGTCCCTGGAGAACCTCAGACCGCCCTTAAAAATCATCTGGAGACCTTCAAACCACCCTAAGGAGCCCCAAAACCACCCCTGAAGAACCTCAACACCTCCTCCCTTCCCAAAAAAGTCCCCAGTCCCCCCAAAAAGGTTCTGGAGACCTGAAAACCACCCCGAAAACACTTCAAAGCTCCTCCCCCCCAAAAAACCCCAAACCTGCTCCTGAAGAGCCTCAAACCACCCCAGAGAGGGTCTGGGGGACCCCAAACCACCCCAAATGTGGCTCCCACCCTGACTGGGGGGAAGGGGGGGCTGTCACACCCCCCGTGCCGCTGTCACAGCCCCTCCCAGTCGTGCCCATCCCTGGCACTGGGAGGGACAGGAGGGGACAGAGGCACAGGAGGGGACAGAAGGGTGTCCCAGGAAGGGGCTGGGGCCCCCCCCCCAGTCCCGGCAGGAGGAGCAGGACCCG